GTGGTGCAGTTTATTAAATATATATAAAATATTAGTTTCTAAAAAAACATCTTTAATAATTTTTTGGAGCACAGAAAAAAGCAATTTTCATGTATATTCAAACTTTCAAAAATTCTCTGATATATATACACTTTCCGGACTGAACAACAACGGCCGCGAAAATTTCAAAAATTCGTAACTCGGAAGATATTGATTTTACAAAAGAAAAACTTCAGACCTTTTTTATAGAACTTAAACCAAAGAATATAAAAAAAATGTTCTGACAAAAAAAAGTTGTTTTTTTTTGGGATTTGTTTAAACAATATTCGACCGGGTTACCGATTGGAACCTACATCGTTATATTCAGGAGAATCTTCCGAACAAAATTGCGTAAAAAAATTTAAACCGAATAATTTTTCCGTCTCACTTGCCCATATTGCCTGGACTATATACTTTTGGTTGATACCAGCGCAAAGGTCGTCAAATTATGCATTTTCACTCGTGCGACATAGAGAAAAGAAATTTCGACCAAGAAATGTGTATTTTCTATGCTCAGTGAACATTTTCCTTGTCTGTGGAACCGTAACCAATTGAATTCTGGTTTGCCCTCGTTAGAACAAAATAAGTAAGTAATTTTATTTTGCCTTGCGTAGATATCTGCCTTGCAAAACCAAATTACGTCACGGGATGTGCCATTTCGGATGAAAAATAAATAATTGGTCGACATATTGTATGTATGTATGAATGTTTATTGCTTTCTGTAATAAGCGATACGTGAACTGAATAATAATTTTATACGTTTTTCATCATATAAAGTCACTAACACATGTGTGCTTATATGTACAATTGGTAATACAGATAATTAAATAGATTTAGAAACAAAGCATTTGTATGATATAGATATACGAGGGTGGATTGATAAGTTTCCGGCCTAACCAAGAGATGACGCCACTAGGCCTACCTTGAGGTGACATTCTATAGTACCATCCTTGGATAGCTTGTAGCTATAGTTTCAGCCCGATCTCCTTGCTAGTGTAGGTTTGACAGCACG